GCCTTGGAACCGACATCGGACCTGACCTGTGGGGTCTGACTCATTACAACATAGTCCACCTTAAACTTCAACTGATAATGATATTTTCTACATACAACACATCCATGGATACATACCTAGGCAGAGTTGCTCTTTAACAGCTATGTTATCTTTATCTTCAAAATGAGGATCCAAATATTTGGTTTTCACTATCCACAGAAAGTCCTATATCAACGGGGTAGTGATGTCATCATCATTTCCGGTCTTCTAGTTGGCTCGACATCTCTAAGGGAAATGATCTGCATAGATCTCAAGTTATAATGTAGACTTACGCCTAAGTTAACATAATGTAGAATGCTGTGTGTATTATAAGAATCACTCAAATTTTGCATATTTACATTACCGTATATAACATGTTATCATTGCCCTAAGGGCCAGGCGGTTCCTATTATTCAGCTTGCCACTTCCCGAGGTTGAAACGCTCACTAAGCATTGTGTGGAGCCCAGCAGATCTAAATAGACTCACTACAACATACATACATCCCGTAGTTAATGTTTATGAAAGATTCGTTATCAGTGGGCATCTGCTCATGCAACATTTATATCAGTGCTATAGCTACATAGCAAGTAGCACAAACCTGCCTCTATGGATAAAAAATTACTAACTTACCAAGTCCTTAAGGAGCTTGCATGTAAGTGTATTCTGTTTCAAACCAAAATTAGTCCATACAATTCTTGATGAATTTAATTCAGAATCTAGGTTCACATATACTTGCATTCTTTATCCACCAGTATATTATAAGGTGCGCAATGATATACTTAAATCATTATTACAAGGGCAGCTTTAGGTATTTAGATCTTAAGCTACAATTGAATTTCTTTCAATTTTATATAGATCCCTGGAATATCGCCAAATGCTGAAGTCTTGTGTACCTTTCTTCAACCCTTCCACATATCACCACCTAGTCTTGGTATTGGCGTGATAGCTCTATATCATCTAACCACAACTTAGTCCTTTTAAGGATTTCAGTTAATTCTTATTTTATTACCCTAGAATTGATGTCGTTTCGACAGTGACAATAGATGGTTCCTCTGGATCGACAAGAATCTTTAACACCCTATGGGTGTAAAGATCAGTGCTTTAAAACCAGAAATCGATTATATAGTTGAATCTGCACAATCTGCACGATGTTGTTTTGCAGGATTGCATTTCAATTCGGGATACATTCAGTCATCTCCCACCATTCTAATGCTACAGCGGTTATCTATAAAAATTGGAAAATGATTCCATATATATGAGATTCATATTCTAGGAATAAAGAAATCGATGCTTTTACAACATCAATTTTATACTAATCAAGTATTCCATACTCAAGAACCCTAATCCAATACATGCATTGTAGATCTTCCACTTGTTCCGTTCAACAAGATCGGAAGATATGTAGTTGTAAGCATCAGTGTATTCTAACCATGAGTAATGTTTAGCCTTTAATAGACCTGATGGCAACGAAACTTCATCTTTTGGTATACATGAAAGCAGTAGCAATAGCAATGACATCCGGGACCTAAAGTTGTGGGGTCGGGAGCTATGCAAGTCAGAATCCACATGGACCGAGATGATTTGCACTGAAAAAAAGATCTAATCGATTGCAATATAAAAATATCATAGTGAAAAGCCATCTAAAATCAATCTAGAACATTCTCTGAACTAATTGCATGGGGATGGCGCCATTGGTGCAGAACAGGAGGTGCGGGAGTAAATTCAAGGGTTGTGGTTGGCCAGCGCTCAGGCCAGCTGTCGTCCACGGGTCTCAACTAGCCATCTCCCTTTGGACACCATTCTTCCTCTTGTCTCTGACTGTGTCAATTCTTATCCGCCTTTCAGTCATTGGTAAGTGTTTAGATCTAGTTTCATCTCGTATTTAACTTGATTCATCATTCCCGAAACCGGTCTCACTAACTTGTTCCTCGCCTCAGCCATCAAGATGCGTTTCACGTCGCTCGTTACCCTCCTCCCTGCCCTGGCTTTGGCCCAGGAGCAGGTTCCCCTCGCCGACCGTGTGCAGGGATGGTTCAACCAGGTCAAGTCCTACGTGCCGACAGCAGCCCCTGTTGCTGCCCCCATCGAGAAGCTGGCCGAGAAGGTTACCGAGAAGAGCGTCACCCACGTGTCCCTGGAGAACTGGCAGTCCATCCTTGCCCCGGGACCCCAGGCCGAGGACTGGTTGATCTACACCACTGGTGGCAACAAGACCTGCTTCGGTCGCTGCGGAACTGCCGATAAGGCATTCAAGGTGAGTTGATGGTTTTCCCCGACGCGTCTTTTGGTCAAGTCCCAAAACCCTAACATCGAGCTCACAATTTCCAGGAATCCGTTCTGTTGTTCTCAGCTGATTCCACCTCACCTCAACTCGGATACTTGGACTGCGAGGCCAACCAGGTTCTGTGCGCCGCCTGGTCCGCCAGCGCTCCCTCCGTCCAGTACTACCAGATCCCCAAGGAGCCCTCTGTTGGCGAGGAGCGTGCCCCGACTCCTCTCCGCAATATTTACCTGAACGCCACTACCGTCACTCCCGAGACCATCTACGAGATTCACTCCAAGAAGACCTACGAGAATGTACCCGTCTATGAGGGCGCTCTCCACCCCGTTGACGGCTGGGTCGCCAAGTACCAGCTCAACATCCCCATGGGCTACGTTATCTGGGCTCTCGGTGCTGTCCCCAGCTGGTTGTTCATGATTGGTATCAGTTTCTTCAGCCGTACCATGATGTAAGTGGAAATTGATCTTGTTTGTCGTTTAATATCAGTCTAACCCCGAAATCAGGAGCCGTCGTGCGGGTCCTACTGGAAACGCCCCTCGCGCCCCCGCCCCCGCCGCTGGTAGCGCAAACTAGATAGCCTATTTTGGTCTATTTTGGTGTTTTGGGTTGTATATAATCAGTGGTAGTATATTGTGATGCGTCCAATATACTACTTGGGTTGGTTTGTGTTCTTTGTTGGGCAGACATCTGTCGGGGATGGAGCCTCATTGATCTTAGGCTTTTTTCCAGCTACCTTTTTAATCAACGTATCCTAGCTATCTAGAGGGATTTCGTAACAGATTCACCAAATGCATTAGTAACTCTTTGATGTCAACCTTGCTTTAGCTCAGTGATAAGAGCGTTATTGATTTTTGATACTTTTCCAAGAGTGTGGCCCTTTGCTACCCGATTATGCTGCGACCTATTTTCATAATGCACTTACTGTCTCCTCGGCGGAGGAAAGTTGTATCGAAATTGTACTAGCAATTGCCTCAATCAGAGCACAGTATTGCTTTGGGCCAAAAAACAGTTCAACTGCTACAATTAAGTCGTCTCAAACTCAAGGTGAACATGCTATAAACTCGAAACATTTATGTTACTTCCTCTGAGAGACCACTCACAGTAAGAGTCTGCTAACTAGCCTCGAGAAAGCGAGCTTGATTCTTTGACTTCACTTCCCACTGAACATCATGACCCAATATAGCCTCAACACTTCCAGCTCAAGCTGCAAAATCAACCCAATCGAAGGGTATACATAGCAAAGCCCTATTCACAAGTTAAGCCGTTTTTGCTGCTTTACTCTAGTTGCAACGCCAATAAGGGGGAAAGTATCTAAACAAGACTACAAAAAAGACGGGATAATTCTGATGGGGTTTTCAACTTTGGCTCGCCGATGTGGTTTTAGTGGACCTTAATGGAATTTCAGCTCGGATAAGGTCGGTTAGGTAGTCGCAGGGTGCCGGCCTGCAAAGCATGCACTTACTTGCACATAGGGTTCGTTATCAACAGATATAAGTTCAATCTTGAGTGTCAGTTTCTCGTTAATAAGAAAGTAATACTCAGTCCAACGTCAGTATCTTTTGCATGTCATGATTCTTATTTCGTCTTGGGAAATGAACGAGTTGGGGATACGTAAGTAGCGTCGAGCATACCCCAATATTACAGTAAGGAAGAACGAGTCAGTGCACATACTGTTGCCCATGCGTGGAACCTGAGATGCCTATAGCTAGCTAAATGCAGAATACATTACATCAGCGCCAAGCCTCGCTTGGCCCAAGTAAACCTTTTGGGTGCTCACTAAGCCCTGGGCAATAGTAAGCACTTGGCCGAGTACTCGGCCGAGTACTCGGGTATGTATGCCTAAGGCAGCCGTACTGCAAGTACGCTTGCCTCAGGCACCGAGAGGTAGCAAACCCTGCAAACCTCCCGGGAGCACAGCTGGGGAGTGTGGGGTTGCAGACATACAAGGAGGCTAGTGAGGATGAGCGATACAAGGACTTGGACTCACGGATCGTGTTCCGGTACTTGGGTGGGAATGAAAACTGAAAGGCCGATCATCAGAGCAAGAATTAAACCTTCAATGTACATAGCCCTAATTCGGAGGGTTGCCCAGTTCCCGAGACGGTGAAGTTGGAATAGACAAACTGCAGAGAGCGGTGGGGTGATTCTACCTAAATCAAAGGCAACTTTTTATTACAGTAAATGACCGTGAAATCCTGGTGACAAAAGGGTGCGATGAAGTCATTCTCAAAGGTGTTTCATATCGGCTTTCAACATATCTCGACCATGGGTGGTTGGGTTGGGAGAAATGCATTGCCGTGCGGATGTTGTATTTCTGAATGACTATGGCATTGAAAGGGTTCTAGATTGTTTGTTCTGTGTCAACTTAGCCTTGGAATCCTTTAGCTGATGAGTTAGGGCTTGCAGGAAAGGTTGACATATTACAGACTGGGTCTAGTAAGAAGACAAAGCCAGAACTAGCTCACCCAAGTCACAACACGGGCAATATTCAAATATATAAAATGTGAAGGCATATTAGGTCTTTAATACGTGTTTAATCTGGAATTTATCAAGAAATTTATCAAGCCAAAGAAAAAGAAAGGCGAGCCCAAAGGTGAGTGCAGTGGAACAAAACGAGAAGATACCCCGGGCGGTCGAGCTTCCCTCAAAATTTTATTCCGCGAGGCTGAGATCTCCAACCTCCAACCAACACAACTCAAAATGGCTGCTCCAGTACCATTAGACCGCATACCTCCCACAACGGCCGCCTACGTGATCGCAACAGCGATCATTGCAGGCGTGACCGGATATTTCATCGGCCAAGGCTCCTCGATCAGCCTCTTCAAAGAAAAGGAAGGGTGGCCGAACAGCTACGATGTGAAGGTCCACAGCCACTCCTCCGACGAGGAGGATGAATCAGACTCCGAAGAGGAAGAGACTGACGAGGAAGATGAGGGCAACGGCGAAGAACTGTCGAGCTTCAAGGACAATAGTGAGGAGGTGAAGCTGGTGCTGGTCGTTCGCATGGACCTGGGCATGACCAAAGGTATGCGCTCTACACGCAAAGCTTCAATTGTTCCTCGCATTTGTGTTGCAAGCGCTTACAATATCTTTCTTCTAGGCAAAATCGCAGCCCAATGCGGCCATGCTACCCTCGCCTGCTACAAATACTTCCTCGAATACGCGCCCAACTCGCCTATCCTCAAGAAATGGGAGCGCGGTGGCCAGGCCAAGATCGCATTGCAGGTCAAGTCCGAGGATGAGCTGCTGGTCATGCAGGCCCAGGCTATCAGCCTTGGGCTTTGCACGCGCGTTATCCAGGATGCTGGGCGCACTCAAATCGCAAGTGGCAGCAAGACCGTGCTGGGAGTCTTGGGCCCCAAGAGCGTGGTTGACGGCGTGACGGGACACTTGAAGCTGTTGTAAATTACACATATTATACGTGTGCTTCTTGCGCATTTAGATAGGCAATGACGATCATGACCTCGACGATTAGGTTTCCAATGTTACGGAATCCATCGCGTCCAGCATGCGACACGCTGTGGTACATCATTGTTGTATGCGAACATGGTTCGAATACGTGTATCACGTTTCCTAGACAACCTAGTCCCGCAAAACGATGACTTTTTCTTTTCAATCCAGAGGTTTACAAAATACGAGTTCTATGTAGGAGATGTTGGCAAGTCATGGTTATTCCCTAACCTCAGCGGCCAACGGCCAATCGGCAAAGAGATATGAAATATGACGCCGTCCGACACCAGGCTATCAAGCCGAGCTCACCAGTGGGAGCTCAAGACCCGCATCACAAGGCGCGAACAATTATTCTGAGATCTGTCGACCGGAAACCGTAAAGGCCATCCACAAAAATGATGGCTCCAAGCTCGTCGAAATGCCCAGCTCTCAACCACCACACAGAAACCAGTCAGACTGGAGCCCATGGACAGGAAATCTGGACACAGATCCGGTTTTGGTAAAGAAGAAAAAGAGGAAGGAAAAAGAGGGAAGGCTCTTATTTATGTCACAAGTGGGGCCGCTAAGATTTTATGACACTAGTCCTAAATAGGGATAGTCTGATATAGTCACATCATGTGACCCGATTGCGGTTATCAGGAAACCAGACGGCGTTGCGCTGAAGGCCATTCACCTCTCCATCTCTTCCCATTCTCCTCATTACACCGTCAAAATGGCGGACGCTCTATCTATTGAGCAAAATAACAAGATCCGAGTGGCTCTTGGTCTCAAGCCACTCCCAGTTCCCGGCGCCGGCCCGGAATTCAGAGAAGACGATGACAGCGAGTCCGGCGAGGAAGAAGACCCAGCCAGCACCCTCGAGTCGCGACAGGCGGAAAGCTACGATAACTGGAAGAAAATTCAAGACACCGCCGAAGCGAAACGAAAACGCGACGAGAAGAATGCCGCCATCAAGCGGGCGCGTGACATCGCTCAAAGGAATCTTCAACTGCAAGGATCTACACTAGGCGAGGGGAATGGTGATGAGCTCGATACTAAGGCCTGGTTGTCGCAATCCAAAAAGCGTCAAAAGAAGATCGAGAAGGAACGCGCCCAGAGACTGGCCGAGGAACTTGCAGAGCGGGAGCGCCTTGCAGAGACCGAATACACTGCAGCGGATCTAGCTGGTATCAAGGTCGGACACGCTGCAGGTGCTTTTGATGGCGGTGAAGATCACATTCTGACGCTGAAGGACGCTGCGGTTGATGATGAGGAAGAGGACGATGAGCTCCAAAACCTCGATTTGGTCGAGAAGGAACGAACCGAAGAGAAGCTTGAGCTCAAGAAGAAAAAGCCTGTCTACGACCCTACAGCGGAGAACCAGGGTATACTTTCACAATACGACGAGGAGATTGAAGGAAAAAAGCGCAAGAGATTCACACTTGATGCCCAAGGCTCGACCGAGGAGCGCGAAGCAAAGCGACAGGAAGTTTCAAACCAGTTGCGGAAGAACATTATCAGCCTCGACTTTGAGCCGGAAGTGCCGTCCTCCGATTACATGGACATCAGCGAGGTCAAAATTAAGAAGCCCAAGAAGAAGAAGGCTAAAGCTACAAAGAAGAGGACTTTCATGGACGACGACGAGATTGCCCCGGCTGCAGATTCGACCGATGCGCAAGGATCCTCAGCCATGGATATTGATTCAAATGGTGGAGTTCCAGTCGCTCCCCGCAAGCCCGTCAATGAAAATGTTTCCTTCGTGGATGATGACGATCTTCAAGCCTCTCTTGCGTTGCAGCGACGCGCAGCCTTCAAGAAGCGTAAGAAGATCAGCCCCGAAGAGCTTGCCAAGCAGCTTCGAGAGGAGGAGACTCAGACCCCAATGGACATTGAAAATTCGGATAATGAAGGCGAGGAGCCTGGCCTTGTCATCGATGAAACATCAGAGTTTGTGTCAAATCTACACAAACCTACACTCCTCGAGCAGGAAGAAAAACACGCCACAGCTGCGGCCAAGGAACCTGAAAGTCCCAGCGCAGAACCCGAAGGGGAGGGCGTGGAGATTGATATGGACCGTTACGGCGATATTGAAGACGAAGAGGAGCTTGCCGCACGTATCAAGCGCGATGAAGCATCTGCGGCCCAGCCACAGCAACTCACTGGTACAGGTCTAGAAGAGGAATCAACTTTGGACCAAGGTCTTGCTGCTACTCTATCAATGTTGAAATCGCGCGGTCTAGTCAAAGACAACGACAGCACCAGCCAAAACACACTCATGCGCGATCGCCAGCGCTTCTTGGCCGACAAGGCGAACCGCGAGTCCGAAACCGAGCGACGCGCCCGCCAGCAGCGTGAGCGAGACCGTGCCTCCGGCAAGCTTGAGCGCATGTCAGCCCGTGAACGCGAGGAACACGCGCGCTGGGAGAACAAGCAGCGTGACCAGCAGGAAGCGCGCCATATGGCCGATGTGTTCAACCGCGAATACAAGCCCGACGTCCAGCTACGGTATGTGGATGAGTTCGGTCGCAACATGAACCAAAAGGAAGCCTTCAAGCAACTCAGTCACCAGTTCCACGGCAAGGGCAGTGGAAAGATGAAGACCGAGAAGCGTTTGAAGAAGATTGATGAAGAGAAGAAGCGCGAGTCTATGAGCACATTAGACAGCAGCCAGAACACCGGCATGAACGCTGCTGTGGGCACTGCTGCGCGTAAGAATCGCCAAGCTGGTGTCCGCCTGGGCTGATCTTTTTTTCTTTTCACTAGCCAAATACCAATTTTACGATATCCAAAGTTAATCCCAAAATCCTTCCGCTGCTCCGTAGTTATATTTAGGCCTTGATCAGGCAACGTCTGTATATTTTTGATATAAGTTTATATATCTTGGAGAAGATTGTTGACAATTTCAATATTATTGGAATATGTACTCCGTAACTTGGTACGTATTTAGGGGACATATTTAGCCGAGTTCCTGTGGGGGTGTGTAAGAATCCAGGTGATCTCTCAGACACGGGGAAATGGAAGAATTCCTTACTCCAACTCTGTGAGGGGAAATTGTGTGGAGTTGGACAGCCTCGATCAGTTCACCGGAGATTTGACTTGCCGAGACAGCATTTTGGAGATGGGCTGATGTTGTATGTACGGAGTATACAAAGTAATCAGATGTTATAACATGTATACAAGATATGTATGGAATATTTTGTTTCACTTGACATTCCAGAGTGAACTCAACGTAATGAATTATACATTTGTAGACTCCAATATCAACTAGAATTGAATCTGTCCATTAACTAAATCCCTGTACTCCGTAAAAGACAATTGCATTTGATCCCTGCAATTTATCCGGAGGATGCAACCAATCCCATTTGCACATCTCTCCGTTGGTTGTACCTGGTACTTCAGCCGAGGCGGGGATGCATACCAACCGGTAGGTACCCGGTACCGCTATCACATGAGTCAGGCTAAAAACATCGGGACTACGTCTCCGATCCTTTATATTCTTTCTCTCTTCCTCCGGTTCTTCCCTTTCCCTTTCCAATCCCAATTATAGGAGATCCAGGTCTTGTCCTTTCGATTTTTCTTCATCTCTGCCATCATGCTTTCCACTCTCAGAGTTGCCAGCCGGTCGGTTGCCTCCCGCGAGGTCAACATGCGCACCGTCGTGATCGGAGCTAGACACGCCTCGGCCTGGGCCAATGTGCCCCAGGGTCCTCCTGTAAGCTTGGAGCTTGCAATCACCACAATCGTGGTTTGAAAGGCCAATTCTAATATAGCTCGGTTAATAGGACGCCATTCTCGGCATCACCGAAGCTTTCAAGGCCGACTCCTTCAAGGAGAAGATCAACCTGGGTGTCGGTGCCTACCGTAAGCCTCGCCCCAAACAATCGTCGTCAATCGCCGTGTTGTGCAGCAATGGATTAGACATTTGATTGCTGACCAGCTATTCCGCTATTCCAGGTGACGACAAGGGCAAGCCTTACGTTCTGCCCTCCGTCCGCACCGCCGAGGACAAGGTCGTCGCATCGCGCTTGGACAAGGAGTACGCTGGTATCACCGGTATTCCCGCCTTCACCACCGCCGCCGCCGAGCTCGCCTACGGTGCCGACTCCTCTGCCATCAAGGACAACCGCCTCGTCATCACCCAGACCATCTCCGGTACCGGTGCCCTGCGCATTGGCGGTGCTTTCCTCAAGCAGTTCTACCCCGGCGCGAAGAAGATCTACCTCCCCAACCCCAGCTGGGCTAACCACAAGGCTGTCTTCTCCGACTCCGGTCTCGAGGTCGCCCAGTACAGCTACTACAACAAGGACACCATCGGCCTCGACTTCGAGGGTCTTATTGCCGATATCAAGGCCGCCCCCGAGGGCAGCATCATCCTTCTCCACGCTTGCGCTCACAACCCCACCGGTGTCGACCCTACCCAGGACCAGTGGCGCCAGATCAGCGATGTCATGAAGCAGAAGGGCCACTTCGCCTTCTTCGACATGGCCTACCAGGGCTTTGCCAGCGGTAACGCCGACCAGGACGCCTTTGCTCCCCGTCACTTCGTCAAGGAGGGCCACAACATCGCTCTCTGCCAGAGTTTCGCCAAGAACATGGGTCTGTACGGTGAGCGTGTCGGTGCTTTCTCCCTCGTTTGCGAGAACGCCGAGGAGAAGAAGCGTGTCGATTCGCAGATCAAGATCCTCATTCGTCCCTTCTACTCTAACCCTCCCGTCCACGGTGCTCGCATCGCCTCCACCATCATGAACGACCCCGTTCTCAACAAGCAGTGGCTCGGTGAGGTCGAGGGCATGGCTAGCCGCATCATCGAGATGCGCTCTCTGCTCCGCACCAACCTCGAGAAGCTCGGCAGCAAGCACGACTGGTCCCACATCACCAGCCAGGTGAGATCTAAAAATTCCATTCTCTATGATCCAAATGACTAACATGCTATCCAGATCGGCATGTTCGCCTACACTGGCCTGAAGCCCGAGCAG